CACTTCCCCTCCCCATGCCGACCTATCCCTCCTTTCCCGTATCCCAACTTCCATCCCTCCCTCCTCCCAACTCCCATCCCGACCTCTCCCCCTCCTCATCCCGACCATATCCTGACTCCCATCCCGATCTCTCCCCCTTCCCATCCATCGCCTCCGATCTCCTCTATCCATTCATCACGACCTTTCTCCTCCCGACTCCCATCCCGACCTCTCCCGACTCCCATCCCGACTTCTCCCTCCTTCCCTTCCTTCGTCGACCTCTCCCTCCATCGCCTCTTTCTCTCCCCTTCCTGATTCCCATGCCGACCTCTCCCCCTCCCCATCCCGTTCTCTCCCCCTTTTCCTTCCCCCTTGTCTATCCCGACTCCCATCCCGACCTCTCCCCCTTGCTATCCATCGCCTCCGACCTTCCGTATCTGTCCATGCCGACCTTTCTCCTCCCGACTCCCATCCCGACCTCTCCCCCTCCCCATCCCGATCTCTCCCCTCTTTCCTTCCTTCGCTTACTTCTCCCTACCTCTCCCAACTCCCATCCCAACTTCTTCCTCCTTCCCTTCCCTCGCCGACCTCTCCCTCCTTCTCCCCTTTCCCTCTTTCCTGCCCTCCTCCTCTATCCTGACTCCGATCCCAATGTCTCCCCCCCGCTAGATCCCTTCACCCTCCCCCTCCCTCATCACGACAACTCCCATCCCGATTTCTCCCTCCTTTCCTTCCTTCGCCGACCACTCCCTTCATCGCCTCTCTCTCTGTCCTATCCCAACCCCCTCCTCCCCTCCTCCTCTATCCCGATTTCCATCCCAACGTCTCCCCGCTTCCCCTATCCCGACCCCTCCATCCATAGATCCCTCTTCCCTCCTCCTCCTTTCCGACGTCGTTCCCCTTCCCGACTCCCATCCCGACCTCTCCCCCTCCCCATCTCGTCCTCTCCCCCCTCTCTTTCCTTTGCCTACTTCTCCCTCCATCACCTCTCTCTCTCTACCGTGTCCCGACTCACATCATGACCTCCCTTCCTTCGCCGACCTTTCCCTTCATCGCTTTTCCCTCTCCCCTATTCCAACCACCATCCCCCCTCCTCTATCCCGGCATGGTCCCAACTTATCTCCCATCCCGACCTCTCCCTCCTCCCCTTTGGCCGCCGACCTTCCCTATCCCTCCTTCGCCCTTCTCTATCCCAACTCCCATCCCGATCTCTCCCCCTTCCCATCCATCGCCTCCGACCTCCCCTATCCCTCCATCCCGACCTTTCTCCTCCCGACTCCCTCCTGACCTCTCCGCCTCCCCATCCCGACCTCTCCCCCCTTTCCTTCCTTCGCTTACTTCTCCCTCCATCCCCGACTCCCATCCCGACCTCTCCAGACTTCCATCCTGACTTTTCCCTCCTTCCCTTCCTTCGTCCACCTCTCCCTCTCCCCCTTCCCATCCATCGCCTCCGACCTCCCCTACCCTTCCATCCTGACCTTTACCCCCTCCCCTTCCTTCCCGCTAGATCCCTTCTCCCTCTCCCTCCCTCCTCTCAACTCCCATCCCGACCTCTCCCCCTCCCCATCCCGACCTCTCCCCCCTTTCCTTCCTTCGCTTACTTCTCCCTCCATCCCTAACTCCCATCCCGACCTCTCGCGATTTCCGTCCCGACTTCTCCCCTCTCAACCCCTCCCGACGTGCTCCCAACGTGTTTCGCCGACCCCCCCTATCCCTCCTTTCCCCTTCCCTCCCATCCCTACCTGTCTCCCTTCCCGTCCATCGCTTCCGACCTCCCCTATCCCGCCTCCCTCCTTCTCTATCCCGACTTCCCTCCTCTTCCTTTCCGCTAGGTCCCTCCTCCCCTCTTCTCCGCAAAAAAA